ATGTACGAAGAATTAGGAAGCCATACTTGCCCTGCATGGAGTAACAATAAAGGTAGACATCAAGGTTAGAGTGCACCAAGGGTCGGCTCAGAGCCCGTGAAGGGGCTTATTTCGGGACCACTAAGGACCATCTTCTAGCGCGATAAGGATAGGTTCTGGAGAGATTTAAAGGGGACGTAGGGTGCTCTTGGTAGCCCGGTGGCGATAAAGCAGACAAATCCGCCAAGAAAACGCAAAACTGATTTTAAATTTTGCTTTCTGATTTTCTTTACGGACGGGCAGCGACTAAGAAGATGACGGACGTATGGACGAGTTCACCGCAACGTTCGGTGGCACCATGCCAATCCATGCTCCAGTCGAGTTGCTCCAGTTGTGCCGCTGCTGGCAACACAGCTCGTCCAAATCACCAACTAAACTAGTGGGTGGAACGCTTTTGGGGCGGAGCGCTTTTCAAGTACCGGCGCACCTTTCAATTGGAACCAACACACCTCGCTTCTTTTGCAGCCAAGCTACTGCTTCGTGTAGCGCGCATACTTCCGCGATGCGCATCCTGAACCGCTTCCTTTAATAATATTGGGGGGGGGGAGCACAACAAAGAACAGGTTCGAATTCCGTTTCGCACGGGCCCTACAGAAAGATGGGTCAAATTTTCAGATTCGGCTGAAATTTTACTGATAGAGGTAAGTGGCTCCCTAATCACGCATATGAAACCTGTTTTGCGCGAAAAAGTTTGGTAGGTACGCTACTGTTCCAGTAACTGTCATGCGGAATCAGTGGCTAAACTTGTCAGCATCTGCTCTTGAGCTCCCGGGTGCGGGACTTTTGGCTCGTCCGGACTGGCACGCGGCGAGTTGCGCGGCGGCACGCGCGGCGATCTGGACGGGACAAGGCTTCGCGGGTTCTTCGGGTAGAATTCAACACGTCAATGCGTGTGCAGATTGCGGATAAACTCCGCATGGTTCTGCTGTTTGAAAATCTTTCCGCTCACGGGGATTGGAAGCAGCAGTATCGGTGAGGAGATTTCAGCGCAAGAGATGAGTGAGGACCCTCATGTAAATGTAACTACTACCATCAAAGCAAATAAGAGTCACTAAAATTGGGAGTTCTTGTTGAGGTTTAATGTCAACTATATATGTTTTGCTGATCGAGGCGCTCACGTCCAGAGGAGAAACATTCAAAACAAAACAACAAAACAGGGTCGATGGTAGGTGACACTAGGACTAAGCCCAGCAGAGGGGAAGAACGCCAGGGAACCCTTCTGCTGGGCTTGGTCCTAGGGTAGCTCTATCCCCCAGAATCCCTTCTCCTCCCTAAGTCTCGGTCCCAAACACAGTAATTGTCTCACTCACATCCCCCAATGGGAACGTCCCCCCCCCCCCAACAACATGACCGCCCTGATTGCCATAACAGCACTATGCTAGTTCCTTCTCATCTCTTCCTATTGCTACAACCACCGCTGTCCTCAAAATTCCAGCCGTTCAGATGCATTTCGAATTGCAGAACCTTGCGGATTTTATCCGCAATCTTCACACGTTGACGTGTTGAATTCCCGCGATGCGTCGGGATCGCCGCGCCGCTCGCCGCGCAATTTGCCGCGTGCCAACCCGGACGAGCCAAAAGTCCGTCGCCCGAGCTCCCCATGAGACGAATTGTAGCAGAAACATAGGCAACGCTGCTGAAACTTCGTAACTATACCACTGAAAATAAAAATATAAATACAACAAGGAGTCGATCTCACAACGTCTTGCGTGTGAGCCCCGACGACCGCAACCAATTAATCTTCTTCCCGACTCCGTAGAAAGACGAGTTTATGTGAACGTCATTGGGATTTGAATGTTACACGGACGCCAAGCAGTCCCGTCCTTTTGATATAGATCAACTGCTTCAACCGTCAAATTCAAAAATCGCGCGCTCGGAGAACTGCCGCGTAGCGACGCCGCGCCCGACGGCCGGACGATTCTGTTGACCGCTCCTCCATGGAAAGCCATAGGGTGTGCCACTAAGTCTGCAATTACGATACCTCCACTGGCGGGCGGTAAATGGAGTGGATCTCTTGCCAGGATTTCATTCGAATATGTCCAGTCCTTAGCCAACGAGTTTTTGAACCCCTTCACCCTATTAACAGCATGAATAAGGCTTCGCGCTGGAATGACTTGAAGCGCTCACATTACAGCAGTACTACCCCGCCCCCTGATTTTATCGATATGTACGTGATTCAGCCGCACCTTTTGTAACCTTTCAATATTACCAGTTCTGGCCACCGTACTGCAGGATAATACTAACGCAGTGCAAACCATAAGAAGCCTCAAATTCAGGTGTTAGGGTTAATTTAACCCAGCCCTAGGGTTAATCTAACCCAGCCTTAATAGATGTTTCTCGTGTACCTTATAACCATGGCGCCTCAAATGGGTTGAACACCACATTTCGACTTAATTTTCATCTGATTTCATCGGAGTGAAAGAGAATGGATGGGTACGGTAGAGAAGTTTCTAATATGCAAGCCCTACTCACCAAAGTACTCACTATGTAACACATAAAACAGTGAAAGTTTCTGTTTCTTGAAAATCTACCCAACCTCCTTCCAAACTGGCACCTCCCACGCGACGCTTCCCCCGCCTTCCACCCCTTACGCAGATTCCGCGGAGCAGAATCGGAATACAGTTACTCCATCTCTCATGGACTAATTGAAGCTTCAGCTCTAACTGTCCTAAGGGAAAAAATTGCTCGATATTTATAGCATATACAACGTACGAATCAAATGATTCAACTGAATCCTATCTTGGAGCAAAGGATCAGTCGAAAATACCAGATAGGAAGGTCAGTGCAACACAGTTGCAAAAGATACCCAAAAACGTCAGAGGCAGCAAAAACACGAACATGAAGTGAAGAGAACGATGAGGGCGATGATCGAGTGATAACGGCAGAGATCATGCAATTTGATGAGGAAAAAACAACAACAACAACAATTTAAAAGAACTTCAGGCAGCCAGAGATGAATTGATATTAGCTAGAAAACGACCTCATACATCACCTAACCAAAAATTGAACTAATTGGCTTTGGTTGTTTTTGGCGCAGCGCTGGCATGAGTACCGAACGTTCTGATGCACAACTCGCACGAGTACTCGTTCTCCGGCAGGCTCTTCATGGCCGGATTGAAACAGTACGTATGGTAACCGCGGTCGCAATCATCACAGAAGAGCAGTTTGTCCTTAAATAACTTCGTATTGTGAATTGAAAAACTGTTGGCTCATTCACATAAGTAAGACAGTAATGAAAGAAACAATTAGACTTAAAGGCACGCTCCGGGATTAGGCATGCTCGCCTGTTCCATCCCGAGCGTAGTAGACAGGCGGACAAGCGTTGATGTCGCGCCCCTTTTGCGGCTTGAAAGTGCGCGACAAAGGCGCTAGAAGCTCGCTCGACCCGCAATCCACACCTTCGTCCGCAAGCCCCGCCTTCCGCTGTCGGTTGCCACGTGACGCTGCTTGAAAAGCGCGGGCGCAGTTGCGGCAGCGGTTGCATTGCGGTTCAATGTCATTGGCACTGGAGCAACTGGAGCTAGGTTCGTGAAACTCGTCCAACACGCCCTTCTCTATCCCAAGGTGGAATGCGGCTGAAATAGAGGAGGTCTCTATTGGGGCGTAATCGGGGTTTCTCTTGCTTTCTTTTTCTTTTCCAGACCACTCCCACCTCCAGCTTCAGTCCTGAACGCTCTCTACACCCAATTCTATCCCGAGGTTTATTTTTAATGCAAGGCAGCGATTACGATGAAGAGGAGCGCATCGAGGAAGCATGTGCACCACACAAACCAGTTACTTGGCTGCCGTGGAGTGCGAGATGTGGCACTTTCACAACGAAAGTGCGCTGGTTGCTGAGCAGGGTTCGAAAGCGCTCCGCCTCCACTAAGTTTTGCTTCTTTGATTGAACGAGCTGGTAGCCAGCAGCGGCGCAAATGGTGCATCTCGATTGAAGCGTAGTTTGGCATTGTGCCATTGATTAACTCTTTCATACGCCCATTTTCTGAGCTGTTACCTGTTCATGAGTGAAAACCAACGGCCAAAAAGGGGGTCCCGTTTTGCGTATTCTTGACGGATTTTTCTGCTTTTTTCGCTTCTGGCGTACCATTTAGCACCACCGCGTCACACACTAAACCCTTCTTGAACTTATCGTAATCGCTGCCTTTAAGGACAGCTTAAACACACACAATCCATCACAGCAGCGATGCTCACACCTACTTTGAGAGTACTATTAAGAATTGTCTTGAAGAAATGGACTTCTCCAAAAAGATCAGCCAAACACGTGGAAGCACCTCATCTTTTTTTTCAAACAGCCTAGGCTTTTTAGCTACTTGCTAACAACCTTCTCAAACTTAGCCCCTCGACTAACCCTACAACTGAGTTGAGGTCGGTAACATTTTAGGTCCAAAAAGCTTTCGAGCAACGGGCTTAAAGGGTGCAGAGATGGAATCTATATGAGACCAACCCGCCAGCGGTACTGCTTGCCCACAATCAAAACCGGGTAAAATTTATACCAGTTCCATACGATTTTTTTTCAAATCAAGCCAAAATATGTTCCGAACATGAAACAAAATATAATGAAATAATCTCATCAACACAGTGCAACTACGTCATTCTCCGAAGTCCACAAATCGTGCAACTCTTGCATTCAATACACTGCCATCCGTAACGTTTTATGATGACAGGAACGTTGTCGTTGAAATTAAGGCAAGTGGGATGCGCTGAAAGTAGCAAAATGGAACACTAAAAGCCCTCAGAAATACATATATGGTACAAACAGAAAAAAAAAACCATATATCTTAAAAAATTATCTGTGATCGTCCTCGACTTCACTTTTTACACAAATATTCTTGGTAGGTGGGCATACAAACGTAACATCGAAATAAAATACAAATGTGTAGACACACCCCTTCAATTGTACAATTATTGAGTAACTAGTTACTACTACTGAGTAATACACCGTATATTTGGCTGTGAAATCAACTCAAGACCAGCCAGCTGAGCCACAGACTTGAAATCCTTATCGTTTGCAAAGCCTAAGCCGTGAACTCAAAACCTTATATGCCGGGTGATGGAAACCCACTCCGATGGTCAATATTCCATTCATCCCTTGACCAATAAAGCTTCACATTGAACCAAAAATGAGCACCAGGGGCTAGCCATGCATTGAAGAAATTTGGCCGACATGAAACCCTAGTTGAGGTGGGGGGGGAGAGAAAAGCTCACCAGCGGCGCGGACGCGAGCGCGTGCCGGTGACGTCAAAATGACGTCGCAGCTGCGGCAGATTAGAAGGATTTCTGGCACTATACCAATTTGTTCAATCATTTGTGCCGCGAGCGAAATGATTGTGTTATGTTCAGGTACCATTGCCCTAGGAATTGAAATTTTTTGAAAATGTAGAGGAAGTTGAGGCTTTCATGTGGAAACCCTTAGGAGTACACTGTCAATAATTTGAATAAACTGAGTGTTCTTCGTGTTCGATTCCTACTTACTTCTACTTATCACACAGTGAAGTAAGAGCACGACAGATGCTCGGAGTACTTAATGTATTGAAGTAATGGTGGCAAAGCTGGCCCTTGCTCGCTCCCTCGCCGCCGTTGTGACGTCACCAACACGCGAACGCGTCCGCGCCGCCGGTGAGCTTTTCCATGGAGCCGCTGAGGTGCTGCTCCTCTCCAGTCCCCTCAAACAGCTTCTTCTCCAGTTCCTAATCCCAGCACCATTCCTTCTTCCATAAAACTACACCTCACGACTTAACTCGAAAATTTTCGAGATTTCACATAAAGGAAGAGCAAAAATCCTAGAACCTTCGGAATTCTTCAACCTTCATAAGATTTCTCGAAAATTCGAAAATCCCTGAAAACTCTCAAATATTGACTGGGTTCTACTCTGCATTCCGAAAACACTTCCAATTTCACCAAATACGACCCCCTTCCCCAAAGAGCCAAATACGAACCCTTTCGAGGATTCCTTAACGTTGGCTCATTTGGTAGACATCACATTTATTCCCACTAGAGAAGCATATGAGCATCAGTGTCTCATAATAATGGGAAAACTTGTCCGAATCATCCCCTAAAACCGACTGAGAAAAAATACCACATATCCCGAAGACATGGCTCAAGACTGAACATTGCACTCGGATCAGAATTTAACACACAAATTCTACAGTTGGGTATGCCACGCAAAGAGGTTTGAGGTTAGCCGTCTAATCCTTTTTTTTTTCAAAATATAGCTAACCCAAGTTCTGTGAAAACATACAAGGTATTAATTATAAGGCTAACCCATGGATATGGGTATTAGTAATTCGAGAACTTAGCAGATCTTCCGCAGTCAT